GGAAGAAGCCATAGTAGATAAGAGGAGGAGGATTGGCGTGTTGTGTGTTGCTTGAATGATGTGGTGCTTATTTATATAGAGGCAAACATGCATTTTTGGTGAAACTTGGTGAAACACTAGACAGACAGAAAATGCAGAAAACATGAACGAAAGTTCATGGGAATGTCACTAGTGTAATTGTTCATCCCTTGTTTTCCTTTTCTTTTGTAATAGATTATCAGGTGTCTGAACCCAACAACTCTGATTAATTCAAATTGTGTCAATTTAGACAAAAACTCTATCACCAATAATGTTGCATTTTTAAATATGAACTTGAGACTTTTAATTAAGAAAGTAAAATTTTCCTTGCCAATTGTTGAATCAAAGACTTGTTGGTTTCTTTTTTATTTTTCCCTATGCGTATGTATTTTTTGTATTTGCCAAAATATATGCGTATGGATATGTATAAAAAGTTAGATTTTATCCTACTTGGTAAATTAGTACCAATTAACATATTTATAAAATAGAAAATTGTAATATTTTAAAATTATGAATGTTGAATTTTTTTAGGTTTATATAATATAATATTTTTTAATTCTTTTAACATATTTATGTACTTTGTTATTTGAATTTTTTTTAAAATGAAAGTATATTATTACTATTGGGGGAAGTGGATCAAAATCACATTCAATGAGAGAGATGGTTGCAATATTAAAATCAGAACGTGAATTCTGGAAACCGCTGTTTTGGCCCACAACTTTTTGAGCTCTTATCAGAAACTTTTTGAATTCTTTAAAGTGAAAAATTGTGGGAGCAGGGAATTCCCAATTTGCAGAAAATAAAGAAATTTTTGCTTCATCGATCACAGTTAAAGCTTTTTTCAAATTTTTTTTTTTATCTGCTTCTCCATTGATATTGTGTCAAAGAATCTCACATCACACCAAACTTTGGCGTCACGAATATTACAAATGGCAAATATAAAAACCACTTAAAGGTAAATGAGACATAAACAAATGTATAAACAATGCATCAGATTAAATTAAACCACTTAATGGTAAATAATTGATTAGATTACTTTGAAGTTTTTATTAGACAATTGATATGAAGGATCTCATAATATTTAATGGAACCTGCACATCATGAGGGAAAAAACACCGCACTTGCTGGAGTCTTAGGGTTTAATTTTTTTAAGTTGTTTGATGCATTAATTAGGACAATCCTTTTGTAATAAATATTCATCTAATCTTATCTTTAACATATTTTGCCGGAAAATATTAAAACTTATTAGCTAGAAATTTAACAAATTCCAAACTTTACTTCTATTTATAAAGAAATGAATAAGAAATCCAAGAGAATATTTAATAATGCATACCAACATTTAATATATAGTACTAAAGGGAAAAGCTTTGATGATAAAAACTAATGATATGTATAATAATTAACACTTCTATATTTTTTTTAAATAAATGGGATCAGAGGAAGGATGAAGTATTGTATTTGTATATATAGAAAGTTAAAAGTGATATAATAATAAAATAGCACCTCCTGCACCTTGAATTTGACGAATCATTGGACAAACAAGCTGTTGAAATTGTCAATGTGCGATATTTGAAATCTCATTTTATTCAATGTGCGACACATGCATTCCATAATCCCCGTCTCAGTACTCAGAATATTGATCCGACAAACACGCGCAAAGTTTCAAACGTTATCATTCATATATATATATATATATATATATATTATGCGTTGAGAGAAAAAATTGAAAGATCTACCTATCATGATATTAAAAATATTCATTAAACCAATTAAGATGTTAATTCAAATATTAATGGTGAAAATTATATTCGAACTATAATCTAGTTATAAATAAAATATTTTATTAAATTGATTAAAACATTGGTCTATTGGTTTATCAATTTATCGATTCAACCAAACCTGTTAACTTTTATTTTCATACTACAACCTATTGCTCTCATTTTTTAGAGTTGTATTTGACATATTTATTTAACATGATTACAAATCTCATAACTCAAATTTAAGAATCTAGAATAAATTAATTCAACTCTTTTAATTAGTTGAACCAAATGTTTTTTGATAAAGTTATTTTTTAATAGTAATTACTAATTACTAATTACTAATATATAATATATAATTCATTACCAGAAAAGAGAGAGACACTGGCTGTTCAACTATTGAAGGAGTGTTTTCAATATGATCTATGATTATATTATATTTTATTTTATTAGAAGTCTTTTCTATCCCCGGCATATATAAATCTTAGTCTTGATTATTAGACTAAGTGTGGGGTGCGTGTGTGTAGCTATCAACTCGGCGAGCATATTGTTTTTCGCACTACAGAAATATTGGTACATTATATTTGGCTTTTCTCATATTTCTCGTTCTCTTTTCTCAAAAGGGGAATGAAGTAGGCCTCCATGGCCACACACGTGTCATTAGCAATCCTAATTAAAACATCTTAAAGGTTCATTAATTACTACAATCAATGTCTTGCAAGTGGCAATCACGTACCCTTGCTTATCCAAAATCCACAACTTGGAATTATTTTATGTTAATCAGGGGACCATTTGTTACATTCCACGTGAAGAAAGCGAAGCAGCCCTCCAACTTGTAATTTTTTTTAATAATATTAATATATTTAAATAAATTAATCATCATCAATACTCATTACTCAATATAATGTCAACATTTTAAACTTCATACTCTTTACTTCGTCAGTGTCATATGCGGATCAGATATCGCGTTAATTGCTCATTCATCCCTCTCACAGTGGTTGGTCTAATTAGAAACAGAAATTAAAGGAGTAATTTTCAGTTTTAAAACTGACAATATGTTTCCAAATGATTTATGAAATAAAGAGGTTGTATATAATTTAAAATGTAACAGTATACTAAAAACGCCAAAACGAATTTTCCTTTTATGATCGTACAGAGCAAGTGAAATGGTTGAATAAAACCAAAACCTTTAATCAGCAATCATGAGTCTTATGCCATTAGGTCATGAGATCGTTGGCTTAAAGTAAATATTCTACAGCCGCACCAATATATATAACTGAGAAGATAATAATATATGTGAGATGTTTTTTGATGTTAATTCACTATTTTTTTCTTTTTTTTCCCCCCATCGTGTCGTATTCTAATAATATAGACTAGGGAGGAAAAGACAAACTTTTGTTTTATTTTACTTAAAGAAAAAATATACAACTTTCTCGAAGTTTTTTTAATTACCTACAAGTATATTTTTATTAAAAATAATTCTACTTAAGATATAATTACATGCTAGATATGACAATTTTATTGGAGGCAATCTCTTATTGAAGTTGAATCATATAACCTTGGATGGGTTTTGATGCAAAGTGTTGACCCAAACAACACATTTTTGTTACAGGCCCTAACAACATTGGTGAAAAAGGATTCCAAAAACAAGGAAGCCCAATGACGAGACAACGCAATGAAGAATCTTTTTCAATGGCTAAAAAGAGAAATGATCGATGCATGTAGTGGGGAATATGAAGCGCCAGGCTTTTTGGTCACTTCCCCACGAAGGCATCATACAGAGAGAAAATTAAAGCACAGTGTATTCCTTCATTCCCAAACTCTGAAATGAACAACCAACAATTTTAATCACACGAATTAAGCAACAAAAGCAGAAGCACCTGGTGCTGTCAATGAGTCAAACTCAAATTAGCCATAGTTGAGACGAAATATGTCATTCTGCACATAGAAGCATTCTGCTGCTGGAATCAAGTGAAACATCTGTAGCCACCACAATTTCCCAACCTTCATGTCAGTTTAACTTGAAGCATCTATATGATGAAAGATATATAATGTTGATCATGATATAACTAACTCCATTTCAGAAGTATATAATGCTTCATCTCTGTAATGAAACACAGGAAGCAAATGTAGCAGAATTGAAAGAGAAGGAGAAGAGAAGACGACCTGGCTAAACCTGAGATGATGCTCCTCTCCCGCCAACTGGAGGCTGCCACTGACAAAGACAACAACGCCGCCTCCCGCCGGCGCCGATGGCTGAGAATCAATGGTGCTGATCACGTGCCGGCATTGATCAAATGGAAGCTGGGTAAGCTTGGAAGAGATTTCACTCACCCCACATATTCTCTGTCCCTCAAAGGTCATCAAAGAGGTGTCCCTATACAGAGAAGATAGTGAAGCCCTATCGTTATCAAACAAGTGGTAGTAATGATCCACAAATGCCCTTCCCACCATTTCAGCAGGTTCCTCCATTTTTGTTCCTTAGTTCCCTGCCTTCCACACACAGCTAAGACTTGCAAGTGCTAGATGTGATCCCTTATGGATCCTCTCTCTATATATCCAAACCCAGAAATTTACAAGGTGGTGGACTTTTTGATAAAGGGAAATACCCATATGGGAAGTAAGCTGAAAGTGAAAAAGATGACGCTGCAACTGCTGTTGATTTGGCACATGATGTCCAATTTGCCACCGTTTTGTTGCTGAGCAGAGCATGGCTTCTATGGAGACCTAGGGTAAAAGGGTAACTTGATTGCCTCAATGGCAGGGGAATCCACTCTGCTGTGTTTATACGCTAAGTTGCTGCGATAAAAGAGTGAAAAAAGTTGAAGTTTGCTTAGCAAAGTCTATTTAGCATCAAGACCTGATTTTTCATTTTTGTGATAACAAAGCTGTACTTCAATATTTTTATTTTAAGGGACACAAAGACCACGTCTTTTTTAATAATAAGGAGGCAAAATCTTTAATATAAAAAATAGAAGTAAAGCAATCACTATTTTAATAAATGTTTCTGGGGATATATAATTAAGTGTAGACTTAGGCATTGGGAAAGAAGTAAAGCAAACACTATTTTAATAAATGAGAAGAGAAAAGACGATCGTGGGGGGCTGCGTTGGGCGTGAAGGAAACGCTTCTTGTTGCATTTCTGAGAGCCGAAAGTACATTTGGAATATATTCCTTTTTCTCAAAAAAAGGAAACAGTGAGTCACACTTGAAAAGCAGAACCAATAAAGGACTAGGAATGCATGCTTATGTGTGATGTTCATCAGCTTTGACGGTATGGAAATGGATGTAGTCACTAAGAAAAAAACTGGAACATTCAGCAACATGCCAATATTAAATGCAGAGCCAAGTTGTGCATTCGGACCATACCACGATAAGTTTCAACTTTCATATGCTGCAAGAAATTGCGGAATCAAAATCTGATAGATTCATTAGTAAATTTCAATGTAAACATGTTCAGTTTCAGCGCAGTTCATTAGTGGTTTTCAGCAAGGACGTGAAGATAAATTGTGGAATCTGTATCTGATAGATTCATTAATAAATTTCAATGCAAACATGCTCAGTTTCAGAGCAGTTTATTAGTGATTTTCAAGAAGGAAGTGAAGCATAAATTCATATAAAGTGTTTTCTTTCTGGCAAGGCCAATCAATGTATGCTCACTAACTTGATTTGTTTGCTTCTGCTTCAAACGTAGAAATATTTACAGTGCCAGAGATTCAAGCCACAGAGTGATACACTTTGTGAATAGAGAAAATACTGAGTCTCACTCACACACCCAATGGGATTATCGATTGAAGGTGTCTCCTATAGTTGTATCAGACTTTGAAAACCACTAATGATATGAGCAGAACCCAGAGGATTGGAACGCATAACAATTTTCATCCAACACCACATATAACTAGTTTATAAAGCTAAGTCCCGAATGCACTTGCATTATGGTTGAGACCATAAAGCATTACAAAAATCCCTTAATCTCATAAGGACTAGAATTATAATTCCACATATTCAGTTCCAAGCATTGCGTGACATAAAAAATAAGAGTAAAATTCTTCCTTAAAATGCTCAAACTATCTGTAGTCTTGACTTTTTTAAAAAGCACTGAAATTCAAGAAAAATTGTGTACCGTTCATAGAAAGGTGAGGCTTTTAAAATTTGATCATATAAGATCTCAAGTTCAAGCCCTGCAAACAGAAAAAATGCAGAGAAAACTAAACATTCCCGTTTATTACCTTTCAAGTGCCAAGTAATCTAAGGCATTCTGTCCTCAGTTAAACAATGAGAACTGAGAATACATGACCTAAAAAATTCTCAAACTTTGCGGGCAAAGAAACAAAAGGGAATAGTACTATTGGATCGTCCCTAATCTCCACGCCAACTTGAAGGCCAATATCCATGAACGGAATAACCAGACTTCCAGTTGCTCAAGAACACCACCCACCTCACTGCCCAAAAACAGAACAATAGCGCAAAGATCATAACCACCCTTTGCGTCGTCACATTGTTAACCTTCACTAGTGCTTGTGTTACATACCCCAATAACAGACCCACGATTGTATAAAAGAACCCTACACAAAAACCTTCTAGCCCAAGCTGCATTCCTGGTCCCCTGTAGAATACCGTAAACTTGGACCTATCTTTTCGATCCACCAAAAACATCGGCACCTTCCTTATGATGTTGTGCATCGCCCCCGAAACGCTAAAGAAGTACACCAAAACAGCGCCTGTTAACCATACCCTCGGGTCGTGAAGAATTGTCTGACCCACTATGATATTCTTCACTAACCAGATCAAGAATCCGATTCCGATTAGTATCAATTTGTTTCTGGAAATAATCGGGGGTCGATGGATTGGACCCACGGCGAGGTTGGTCTTCATTTCAATGAATTCAGCCATGGATTCAGCGAGACGGGACCAATCTCCCTGATCAATCTGATATGAATCTTCAAGGCTTTGATAAGGGGCAACGATACGAAGGTGAGGGAGGGCATCGACGCCGAAGAGAGAGAAACTCTCTTTGGATTCTCTGAAATCGAGTTTGCAGAAGAACAATTTCGCGTGTGAAAGGGAAGAAGGGTGTCGACTGTTGCCAATGTAGGAGGAAGCGACGAGTTCAAATTCACGGAGCATATCTTTGAGGCGGAGGTCAGGATTGTTGTGGAGTAGAATGGCGTCGAAGAAGACGACGACCCAGTAGGGTCTTGGGGTTTCGACGGAAGTGAGGAATCGGGAGACGGATTCATCGTTGAGGTGAATTACACCGGATTTCGATTTAGATTGAAGGGCAAGAAGCTCGCGCACTCGATGGTCGGCAGATTCGGACGAAGCATTGAAGGCAACGAGAGAGCAGATAGCGAAGAAGAGCAGGAAAGATGGGATTTTGGGAAATGGGGTCATCGTTAGAGAAGCGATTTGTTTCCAAGAAGAGAGGCAAGCCCTACGAAGGCATGGAGCTTTTCATCATGCATGCAAGGCGCAACAACTTTAATATACTTGCACTACACAGGAATTGGTTTATATGAGCACCATGGCGCGAATACAATGCCGTTTGACAGTGTTTTCCCAACCCCCTCCTTTTTAACCACAAATTTATTATAATAATAATAAATAAATATTATCAAATTATTATTTTTATATTTAATAAAAAAATAAATATTAAGATGTTAAAATTAAATCTGAACAGATTAATTCATTAAAATTTAATTTAAATAGTTCATATATAAATTTTGATCTGAACAATTCAGAATTGTATTGAAATAATTAAAATTGTAACTAAAAATATTTTTTTTTATTTTACTAATTTTGTACATTTTTTATCTATGAGAGATAATATCATTCAAGGCATAATCAGGAATTAAATATAAGTATTTTTTCAATAAAAATTCAAACATTAATTTATTACAGTGTAAGAAACTAGTTCATTTTATTAGACTCAACTCCAATTTTAAATTATTCAAATTATTTTTTATTTTTTTAGTATAATTTTCAATGTTCAAACTAAAATTTTTATTTAAACTATTCAGGTTTAATTTTAACATCTTAATATTTATTAATTTATTAAATATTAAAATAATAATTTTATAATAATCATTTATTATTATAATAAATTAATAATAAATTTGTGGTTTAAAAAAAGTAAAAAAAAATACTATCAAACAGCAGTGTTTTAATGCTAAGCACCATGATATTTATTTTAGGATAAGTACCACAGTGATAAGCATTGAAACTGAATCCCACTGCGCACGAGGACTGGGATAAGGCATCTACAATTCAATTCTACTCGTAGGGCACCATTCGATTCTACGTGTAGGGCACTAATGTGTGTGTATTTTTATGATTTTTTTTTTTTAAAAAATAAAAAGGCAACGATGAAACTGTACAAAAATAAAATTAAGTTTAGGTGGATCAGCTAAAAGCGAGTCCTGCATTCTAAAGGCAGTGACGGATGAGAAAGAAAATCTATCAAACAATTTTGTGACATGGTGCCCCCCACGCCAAAACAAAAAAATTATCAGAGTCTGGAGGTGAATCATCATAAATAATTGTGTTGAAATTGACAAAATATTTTTTATTTTATTTTATTTTTTCTTTTTTTCGGGGCGGGGATGGGATCACCCCTACATGTCCCCCTGTAGAACCATCCCCACATGGTTGATGTGTATTGTGTTAAATTTAAAATATTATTTTATATTAATTTATTAAAATAAAAAATTATAAAATAATTTTAATAAATTTTTTATTTGATCTAGATTTAATTTAAAGAGTTTAATTTAATATTAAAATTTTTTATAATTAATATATATTGATTATCTATGTAAACTTTATATAGTCCACCAATTCAGGTATAATATTTTAACTGTATAGAATACATTTAAAAAATTTAAAATATTCAATTATAAAAAATTTAATATTAAATTAAGTCTAAATTAAATTAAAAAAATTCATTAAAATTATTTTATAACTTTTATAGCCTTTTATTTTAATAAATTAATATAAAATAATATTTTAAATTTGGACCGTCTAAATTAAAATATGAATGAGCACTGCATGCCCATCCAAGAGATGAACAGGAAAACCATTTTCAGAGTTATATTGATCATTTTTACCTGTGAATACTTTTTCTTGTCCAGTCATTTTTTATTGTCGAGTAAAATAATTTACTTTTTTGGACAAAATAAATAAGAAAACACTCAACCTCTTTTTTCCCTACAAGCCTACAACTTCGCGCAACGTATCTTGCATGATAAAACGGTGTTATTTACTTTATTTTTTTTGACCTATGTTATTGTGAGACGCCGTTACGCTGTTCTTGTGATAGAGGAACAAGTAAAACAAGAACAATGATTAGAAATGGTCAATGATTGCACATGACAGACAATAATGATTATATAAGAAGTCAAGAAAGCTGAAGCTGCAACTCTTCACTGCCTCCTACTTCTGAAAATTGACACGTCATACAAACCACCGATCTTTCTATACAAGTCCCTAAATTCCCAACATTATATACTGAAAAATGCACAGGATGACTTCTTCACGTGTGCTAGAAGCTGATAATCATGCAAAACCAGATATCAAACGTTTATACTTGGGTTTATCTGGTTTAAGCCCCATCTTCAACATTTCATCATGCAGTTTCATGGCCTTTCTAAGTTCCTTCACTTTACACAGCTCACGTATCATTATTACAAAACCCTCACTGCTAAGTAAATCCTGTCTTCTCATGTAGTCAAACACTTTATCAGCTTCCTCAATCTTCCTCGCTACAAAAAGTCTATTGAGAAATACATTATAAGCCGTGACATCCAAACTCGCATTCAACTGCTCTATCTTACAATGCAGTTCAATGGCTGAATCAACTTGCCTGCTATTGCAGTAGTGCTTCATCAATAAGCTACAGAAACAAGAATCAGGCACAATGCCTCTATCTAGAAGAGCACCCAGCAAATCCTCTGCTTCTCTCCATCTACCTTTATTACACAGAGATGTCATAAACTTGGACAAGTTTGATGAATAAGGAAGAAATCCTCTTCTTACAATGTCCTTCAACAGTTCAAAACCTTCCACTTCTACACACTGATCTTCTTCACAGAGAAAATTAGCCAGTGCTTGATAATTGCCATAGTCCAAAGTAAGACCTCTCTGAGAAGTTATATTATATACAGAAATTGCTTCCCTGATTCTCCTCTCCCTGGATAGTGCTCTTAGTAAACACCCATAAGTACGGTCCTGCAAGCTAATATTCTCCTGACAAGCCCCCCTAAAGAACATTTCTGCGGCAAATGTCTTGCCGATATCACTCAGTTTTTGAACCACTAAATCGTAGTTGAATGATGATGAGCACTTGGGAAGAAGTCCCTTCTCTACCATTGTATTGATTATCCTCTCCACAACTTCAACATCATCAAGTTTACATGCTCCATCGAGGATTGAACTGTAAGTAACAAAATCAGGCGTAAGTTTCCTAGTACTCATTTCATTCAAGGCATCAAATGCAGACTTGAAGTCTCCTTTATCACTATAACAACCAATGACAATATTATAAATTTTCGAATCATAAATCCCAGAGTCTAACAATCTGCCAATTGTGTCAAACTTTCCATTTTTACTCAAAATCTGAGTAACAATTGACAACGTAGAGCGACCAAGTCTATAGCCGAAGCGAATCAAGGCACCATAGAGACACCAAGCCAGCCGAATCTTGTTCTCTCTCTGCAAAGCATCAAGAAGCGCATTGCAGGATCGAACCGTGGGAGCACAACCACGAAGCCTCATCGACCTAAATACCTCTAACCCTTCCATGAAAAGATCCTTTTCCGAATAACGTTCAATAACAAAACTTAGCACAACAGATAATGAATCTCTAGTTCTACCTTTACTCACTCTGACCATACTCTCTGAAATAGCAGGTGCAGGGTATTCCCGAATCAAAGAATCCAAGAGGAGTTTTGCAGATGGATAAAGACCAGAACCAACGGCTATTCGAATGACATGACAGTAGGATTTGAGATCAGGCCGGAACCCTAGATATGATTTGGCCCAATGCAAGAAATGCAGTGAGATTTGAGGCTGAGTTTGGATATTGTGGAGGATTTGGAGGAACAGAGATGGGTTAAGTTTAGAGGAGAGATTGAGGCTCTGGAGGAGGGACATCCAGTTGCGTCTCTGCAAGAGAGTGGAAGAGATTTGGGAAGCGAGTTGATTTTGTTGGATTTGGGTCCTCCAGTTGCGAGAAGTGGCGAAGGATCTGGAGAAATTTGGAGACTTGGGAAGATACATATGGGGCCAGATGACCTGGGCGAAGTGCCCTGTTGCGTCGATAACATTGCGAGGAACCGAAGGATTTTGTTTTTGTTTTTGTGGTTTTTTTTTGGGTGGGGGGGGGAGAGGTGGAGTTTGGATTCCAAAGGGTGGTAGTTGATAATATTAATTAATAAATAGCATTTTTAAAAATCAAACCAAGTCTTTTTAAGAGAACAGGAGAATTTAAATTTATTTTTAGTATTTCACAAATTTATAACTTACAATGTGAAGATGAGAAACTTGGGTTTGCTTATAGTTGACAAACAATGGTGCTGTTAATTTTTAATCATCAATGCGATTGCCATTTGCGACTTGCAAATCTCATTTTTTAGTCACCGTCCTTCAGATTCAGTGCAAGCACAGGCAGGGCAATACTCGGAAGTCCTGGAGCATGTGCTGCTTACAAATATTAATGTGATGATTAGTTTATATAAGATTAATGATCCATTGCTGGCACTCAGACACATACAAGCAGTATTGGCAGCAGAAGCATCTTACTTATTTCTCAGAAGGCGCATTCATGGCCTTGAGGTCTTCTGATCATCAACTAACTTACCCCATGAAGGGTTATTTTGGTCTGCAAATGGTGCGCACTGCAATTTGTGAATTCTGTGCATATTTTTGTCACTGACGATTATACATCTAAGCAGAGTTCCCTGTTAACGGGATTCTTTGTAGTTGTGGCAGAAGAGACCTCGCATAGAATGTACAAAAAGTCACAAATCCATCACAAACTTTTGAAACTCTGGTATTTCCTCCTCTAGCCAAGTAACACAACTGCTACTGTTCATTTGAGGTTCACAATAATCACTTTGATATGGTTCAGTAGCATCAAGATTGTTGGCCCAAAAAATAGTACCATCAAGATTGGAGTTAACATCAATGACATCAATAATTCTCAAGTCCAGATTGGCTCCATCATCAAACACCTATCGAAAGTCTTACAGTTCACACTTCTTATATTTTGCCTCTTGGCTTTTCCGCAACCTTTTATTAAAAAAAAGAAAATAATTCTCAGGTTCCAATATTATACTGTTTATACCACCATCGCTTCTAGTCTTGTGCAACCAAATTTCTTTGATTGTTCCTCCTGGAGTGGAGTCTCAGTCATTGTAGAACAGTTGACGAATTTCATTTACTATTTTACTTTACACAGCCAATAATTTCGTTCTCATTTTCCCAACATCATTTCTTTACTAGCATCCAGAAAGAGTCCACACTCATCGAGTCATTATGAAAGGGCAATTTCTAAACGCATGGCTCATGACACACTTAAATGCCAAACAACAATAACTCGCAAGATTAAGCTTCGGCAGAGAAGTGTTTGGATGCCAAAGTATGAGATTTCTAAACAACCAAAGGAAGAAATTTAGGTGAAATCCAATTCAAGAAAAGATAAATTGTAGGCACCGGTTGACGCAATCTGCAGGAAAATCAAAGCAGGTTGCACGGAAGGTGGCCCTTTTGAAAAATCAAAAGCTTTTGATATTAGAGAAGGGTCTCTGAAAAAGCCAAATCATATGCCATTTCCCTCTTCTCCCCTTCTCATTATCATAAGACCAACCTCAAGGTTCAGTCACAAGAAAAAGAAAAGTAAAATGTGAGAAGCTCGGTAAGCAGATTTATCGACAGAGACCCAAGAAAGATCTCACAACAGCCGGCCAGTTAGCTTCTTAGATCGGTTTGATTTGGCTACAGCCGCTATGGCACATTCAAGAACAAGGGCACTTTAGTTTATAATGATTACTCCCTTTCCTTGGTACATGTAGCCTTCCCTCACACCATGAATCCAAGGATTCGTGATGAGAGACAACTAACCCAGGAGCAATTAGATTCTACCAAATAACTTTCTTTCGAATAACTGGAAAAATGAGAGAGCATAAAAAGTGCAAAGGTCAGGGTACAAAACAAATCAGATCAGAATAGCGAAGCGACAGGAGAGAAATAGCTGAAAAGGAGAGGTATTGAAGTAAAAGAAAGAGTTCGGGGTTAAGAAACTGAAGGAAAGGAGACACGATTAGCAGCTTCGCCCTCCCGCGAGTTAAAAAGATGAGTCGGAAGTTCAACTCAAGAACTCATTTTATACTGATGTTTTCACAAACCCTAGAATCTTGACCCTTCAGCGCAAGGATTTGATCAAATCATGGCCATCCAAACTCATTAAAGGGTCATGTTAATATATATAAAATAAAATCATTTAGCTAAAATGTCATCTTTTCGTGACTTTTTTTATTCTCCTTTCTTTTTTATTGCGTCAAGCTCAAAATAAATTTATTCTAATATTTATTTAATTTGAAATATGTTATTATATACTTCATGATCTTTAAAATAAAAATTATCTATTTTTAAAAAAATTATTTCTAATATTTTAAAAAAATTCAAATACCAGTATTTACTATTTTTCTTTAAAGTATGCATTTATAATTTATTATTATACTTTTATCTGCTCAGTACATTTTCTTTAAAAAAACATATTCGGCTTAGATGTTCGGGAAGCAATTACTTCAAATATCAATTGAATCCTTTCTTCAAAAATGTTCATTCATTCATTACTTCTACCTTGACATGCTCTGATCAAACGCTAATTTATGTAACATCTTATTAGGACTTAGTTTCAGGTGAGTTTGCTATCAGCTATGCCACATTCAAGATCAGGGGCATCAAATCACCACTTCCACCTTCCCCTTTGTACTCGTAACCTTCACTCGCACAACTCAATCAAAAGGGGAAAAAAATCAAATAACAAAAAAACTGAGAAAGCATTTATTGATTTGCCAAGGACAAGCATAACAATATTTTGTTGGCAAGAGCAGAGGAACGAAGAAGCATCTCCCAAGAACCCTAACCAAGAGAGACTATGTAAGTATACTCTCAGTACTCATTGGTGCGTCCAAAGGAAAAAGCATCGCGGTCCGCCACTTGATATTGTCATGAAAATAGATTGTATTACAAAGAATGATGGTACAAAAGGCACAAATCACGGCCTTCCAGGTTACACAGAAGCCATCCAACATTTAAACTACGAAGCGCTGCTTTTGTTCTTTACAGGTTCCGTTACAAAGATATCAGTATCATCTAGACAACTATCCAGAAAAACAAAGCTGTTAAGCACCTAAAAGAAGATGTGGCATCTTGCACACGACTGGTGTCCACTATACATTGCTTTGCTTGTAAAGCTTGGTGTCAAGAACTTGTTTACCACACATCGCACAAACTCCTGAAACACAACACAACTCTCGAGTTTAGTATTCTTACTGGAAAGCAAAAACGTCTGTCTAGTTTCAGAACATCTCCAAAACAAGTTGTACCTTTAGAGTAAGCACAGGTGTGGCAATACTTCGCATCCTGGTGCACCTGCTGCTTGCAGATAATGCACTTAGTGTTTCCGTAAGGGGTCCATCTGCAAGCAAATCAAAGCAATAATAAATTAACACAACATTTATGATCCAAACATGTATGCCTAACCAATTCATAAACAAAATGAGAGAATGCCACCACCTCAGCATTCTGCCAAGCAGCCAAGGTGCCACGTTTCACATCATGCAAACACACTTTAGACGACAAAATAACTATAAAACTATTGACATCTAAATATGAGATGGAAGTATAAGAAGCGATTGGTTAGTCTCAAATTCATAAATTTTGAACCCTCCTTATTAATAATATTTTGATTGTGTCATGTTTCATGTCCTCTGTCCATACTTTAACTAAGCTTACAGTAAGCATCAACTTGTAAAACTGGTAAACTATTGACTTCTATAAACGAAATGGAATATGAGCAGCCAAAACTAGTCTTTTCTACGGCCTTAAAATATTTTGAACCAGTAACCAATATATAAAAAGTATTCATGTGCAACAATCAGAAATTCAATTTTACTTGTCAGAGAAGACTGACCACCCTGGGAGAAAAGGGGGCGGGATTCTAGACACCTGAAATAAAATAAAACTTCAACGACACAGCAAACTAGTACTTCGACTAGTAACTACAAACAGAAATTGTTGTGGCATATAAACAGTTGGTGCGTTGGAATGTTGGATGTTAGAGGCATTACAAGAGCATATGTAAAATCACAATATCCCAAGAGAAAACGAGAGAAGAAAGAAGCAGGGGTCATAACTTCAATTTTGCCCACAACTTAATCGTTCCCTCTCTAGGAGATACAATCGCAACGTCTGCAACATATAGTTGATAAAATAAAGCATAATTGAATAATACGCAATAACAAGTGACATTCACCGCCTGTATAATTTTGTAAAATTATGACAGAACTTGTTCGAGAATAGCGTCTGTCATAGCAAGAATCGATAGACACAACTGGAAGGTCATGTTGAACAGCAAAACAACAAGGGAGTTAATTTTCATTAAAAAAATTGCATATATATCACGTAGAATCTTTCACCTGATCATTACAAATGATATCGATCAAAGAGTCAAAGCATGCTTCTTAAATCCCTTTAGCATACCCAATAAGAAAAAGAAAGGAAAAATAAAAATATGAACTTGAATTTTGACGTGCCTGTTCTTCTTCGAGAGAAGCTTGTTTTCGTTGATCTTCCGGCCACCGCCCTCAGTAGTATTGCTAGCGCCTTCTTTCCACTTATCTGGTACTATCACCTTCGATAATTTCTTCTCGCCTGAAAGAAAAAAATCATAATCAGAATACAGAAAACTGCACCAGTGGCTCCTTTGCCACTCAGATTTTCAGAAAATTTCCCCAAAAAAAATTCCAGTGGAACTACAAATTACAACGAAAGGCGAGGAACTTACACTTCTCGCAGACCATTGCGATCGTCGATGGCTCTAATTCCCGATGATAAACTTGCAGTGTAAGTGATCGATTCGACGAATCCCTAACCTAAACCCTATCGCACCTACGACCGAATGATGTCGTTTAAGCAGTGCGAATCTTGATGGCAATCGTTAAATTAAACGACAGGTCCAGATCTTGATAGAAATTTTCAACCCTCTATCAAAAATGAATTGACAAAATTACCCTCGACAAAACTTTCAAGTTTTAACGCGTGTCGTCGTATACAGGATTAACAAAATGCTAATCTGAGCCGTTGGATTATTATTTTGTAGTGTATAATTCCAATCCTCTTTGGTTATGTACCCAACCCAACCCAACCCATTTATCTTTGCTTTATCTAAGTACACGTGGACAATATGATTGTCTTTGCTCAATACTTCCCTGTTATTATAATTTTCCCAATGTCTTTGATCAGCTTTTCCCCAGATGCTCGCCAATGCAGCTTTCAAAAAAAATTGATTTTAACACTGATAATCGCTTATTGGCAAAAGGTGGTGTTTGAATATTTTTTTAGTTAATCAATTTTTTTAGCAAAAAAATCGATTACTTGCCTAACCAAACAGGCACTAAGAGATTACACTGGCACTAAATGAGTGACACAGAGCCATAGTCAAATGTACATGAAGAATAACAGAGTTGGAATGAAGGCAGGCAAAACTATAAAATCCAAGCCAACTATCTACTAATTTCGTTATATATGATTGAAACACATTCTTTTTGCAAATGGTAACAATATCCTATCCTAAGACACCAAAAGGGGACTGCATCATGGGCAACAACAAAGGAGGAAGCTTTTTCGATTTCGGGTTTAAAAGAAAGATTGTCAAATGGAGAGAAAATTGAAACTAAAGGAAGAAACTATCAAAAACGTATCTTTTAAGTTTCAAAATTTAAAATGAAACCATATTAGTTTTTATAAAAATTTGATGTAAAGCTGACATGATTTCAAGTTTTCACGTTGGTTGTAGAAGCAATTAATATGAAAACATATGGAAAATTTTCACCTAAGTCTCCCAGGGCAAATTAAATTATTAAAAGATCTCATAACATGTATAAAATATTATCAAATTTTAAATCTTGTGTATTTATAATTGAGCAGAGGAAAAAGACAATTGGACAAATGAAAATGACAACTTAATATTAAACTCATATATGAATTGTCATTTTTATTCGCCCAATTATAAATATCTTTTGTCAAGTTATAAATGTCTAAAAATTGAAATTTAAAAATATTTTTTATATTTTATGAAATCTCTTAATAATTAAATTTTTTTTATGGGATTTAAGTGTTATTTTTTCATGTTTTCCTATCGGTTTTTCACAAAATCAATGTAAAAACTTTTGCATATAATTACAATTTTACCCCATTTTTTTGCTATGGTTTTTTTAAATAATTGATGTTAAAAGACGATGTAAAAAAGTTACTCTGTAATAGTGATTATATGTTAACCATGCTCGGATCTTAGTGTTGAAAGTTGAAACTATAAACCAATTAAAACGACACACACGCACCGAAATCAAAGTTCTATCAGCAGATGCCCATTGTTGGACGATACAAAACTTCGAAGAAATTAGGCAGCAGAATCTTCCGCATAGTAAGGACCCCTTAGTTTAATATAATATAATAAAATAAAACACAATTTTTTTGTCAAAAAATTCTAATCACTGGTACAAATTTAACTTTTTACAAGGAATTTTTTTCATTAGGCAAACAATTAAAAAAACAAGGTGGTTACTTAAGAAACCGAAATAAAAAACTTTTTAAATTTTTACATCATCTTTCTCCTCTTACAAGAATGTTATATTTTACAATTTTTTTCTCATCAATGGGATTTTCTCTACAATTTCCTCTATTTTTCTAGCTCGAAATCACATATCTTTAGCAATGTTAATCCTCCCCACCTATTACAACCATCTTCTCAAAACTCCATCATCAATTTCTTTAAAATTAATTCCATCTATTAGTTTGGTAGAGGCATTGATTCTAAGCATTTTTCTTAGGCTTAAGTCATTAAGGTAAGTTTGTCTAATTTCATTCCCACCCTCTAATCTCTTCTTTAAATTAGTTTTTTTTAGAGTTTATGGTTAGGGTTTTTGTTTTTAAGGATACCCAACTATTGGGTAGGAATTTTATGGTGATTTTGAAGTTAAATAGATGTTATTTAGATTATTTTCTCGATAATTATGATGATATGGAGGTTAAATTCAAAACCTTAGACTAAATGGGTAGATTTTTATAATGTTTGAGGGTTTAGAGGCTAAATAAGTGATATGTAAAAATTCTAAATTATAATTTAGACAAAAATTTTACCAGTTAAACATTAAATCTTAAGTCAACTTGTACAAATATAAAAATATTGCCCTCCTGGTATATTTTGCACTGGACTTTATGTTGATCATGTTATTGTCACATTGCATTTCTTTTGTATGGTGTTTCATCAAGAGAGTCAAAGCTAACCCAAACCTAACACACCACTTCTTTCTTTACCTAAGTTTCTTTTTTTTTTTTTTCACTATGTTGCCAAATATATATATATATATATATATATGTCCACCTTGCTTTGTGACCAATTGAAAACTTAATTAAATCAAGGTCTAATAATTATCTATTATCTATTTTGAGGCGATGTGGAACTAAACTTATTTATATATGCAACCTGTTTGATTTCCTGCTAATATTTAAATTTTTTTTGATTAATCACTAATCAGACTTTAAAAATCAAGTGTTTGATGCTGTGAATGGATTCTCACTGTTATCTCAAATTGGATTAGATATAAATTCTTATTTTGTTCATTATTTGAGAAACAAGATACTAGTTTGATGATGATTCTCCCTTGATTAAGGATAAGGTATGCCCGTGGTGGATATCGTGCTCTTAATATAGTAATAAGTTTATTGTTTTGGTTGTAGAAATACCTTGAACCAGATGACCTTGATTCTAGAAATCTACTTATTTTGGTTGCATACATTACCCCATCGACATACCTTAGGCAACATACTTTATGGAGATTCTATGAGTTCAGATAGTTTTAGATAATTTTAATGAGTTTTTTAGTTTAAGACAAATCTTGGATACCTTATGTATATTTTTGGATAGTTAATTGTAACAATTTTAATTGTTGAAAACTTTAAATGAATTATATTGGATAGTTAATAATTTTGATAATTAAAATTGATTGTGTTGTTTGGATGAAAATTTTATATGATTTATACTATCTAGCTGGTTATATTTGTGTATAAGGATGAAAAAATATATACAAATATTATATATATATATATAAAATTATTTTTTTACATTGGTTACAACCATAATTAATGTAAAAAACTCACTTTCTATATCAGTTATATCGATATGTAAAAAGTGAGGGAATTATTTATTTTTTTAAAACATTAATTGTTTATAACATTGTCTTGTGAATGATATAAAAAGTCATTTTTATTTACTGTAAAAAGCTTTTTCTATTATAGTGAATTTTTAATAATGTGAATTAATAATGATGTTAGTCAAAATAAAAATAAGTGTTCACAGTGCCTACAATAATTTCATCCCCAACTAACACATCAAGCATTGCCAATCTGAAAATTGAGTTAAAATTATAAAATAAAGCTTTGTCAACATAAATTGAATCAAATTATTTGGAAAGTTTTTTTAGTTAACATAAATTTGTTAAGCTTCGTTGTCAAACATTCATAGAATTCTGCAGCGTACCTTATACTTGAAGCAGATCATTAAAGTATTTAACTAGTTATCTTAACAACATTAGGTTCTTTAAACTTAAGTAAACTATATGCTTTATTGTAAACAATATTCTGTATACTGTAAGTGAATCAATTAAATCAATGATGACATTATTTCACAGCATACAATTTGAAGACAAAATGGGGATGTGGGAAAAATAAAGAATAGAGAAGAATTGAATTTAATCCCAAGGGCTGAGAGAGCACTCCTCAGGCAAAGTAGGATATCGTTCAGAATCGTTGCAATAATCATAAATAACCATATTTCTCTGAACCCAGGCATAGTCCTTCTTCTGATCATCAGAAAGGTGCCAAGCATTGTACTGATCCCACCAGTTCTTGGTAGTGGTGGACACACAATCTGGGTATGGATCCTCCCATTGACAAGCATCCACACTGAAATCTTTGTACGATGACACGAACGGTGCTAGCTTCCAGTTCGTCTTCTCCAGCCCTCCTCTCGTCGCCCAGTCATCTGCATTCCATATGCTCGAGAACAGAAACATCGGTTTCTCGTTCGGGAAGAAGCTGTTTGGCTTCCCATTGTTCTTGTACACTCTCAGCGGAACTCTGTCCACAAAAAACCTGCCTTCCCCAAATCCCACAATCACCTGATGTGTTCTCATGGAACTGAGTTTCTTGATTGGAAAATGGGGACAATGAGGAGAAAGGGAACTTACACGAGCTGGTGATCGTTCCATAGAACAGAGTAAGTGTGGTAGTCCTCGGTGGGGTCGAACCAGAGCATGTGCCTCATCTCACGGCCTCCAGTTCCATTCTTGTACACGTTTGTCTGAATCAAGTAAGGCTGCCCTGTCCTGTTTCCTAAGAACTCAAAATCAATCTCGTCTCTTTCTGGCCCTGCTCCATTCTCGCTGCACATCTGCATCAATTTCAATTCAATTCATGATCTCCCACATGAGAAAGGTAGTATTTTGGTACATTCTTGAATTTGAATGACTTACATAATAAGCTGTCACCACACCAGCAGAATCGCCTCCAACTAGCTTCAGCTTCATGCTGAACCATCCAAATCTGTAGCGTTGTTTCGTTTGGAACCCGCATCCTATTCACCGAAAAAGTTACATCGACAAGGTTTGAACTTGGTGCATTGATCAAACAATTGACCTTCATAAATAAGGTAAACCACCCTGAATGACACGTTGAGCTGATGAGTTACCTGTTTCTTTGTCGAGAGAGAGATACCAGATCTGGCCATCTTCGGAGGTGGTGAAGTGTTCCTTGGACCACATTATGCTGAAGTTGTCTTCGAAGGATCCTTTGGAGATGCCTGCTTGGGATGCAGCCGCCATGGCCATGAGAGCTGCAAAGAGAAGGATCATGGATAGTGATGCAGAAACTGGGCTTGAAGGGGTGTCCATGGCGGGCGGATGAGGGAAGATTTTGGAGTGAAAGGGATTAGATCTGTGACTGAAAGAGAGAGAGAGGTGTAGAATAAATTGGGGGGGGGGGGGGGGAATGATTTGAAAATAATTTAGAGCATCCAGTTGTAATCTTGTAATGTCATATGCCATTGTTCCCCAGTTTCTTGTTGGACCCAAGCTCGCGTATCGACGCTAAAATCAATAAAATATCTGCCTGTGGGTTGGGGGGGGGGGGTTTTGAGGATTGGAAAAGGGTTATAACGGGAAATGGGGATTAAAATAAAGGGGGAGTGAGGGGGGTGGCCCTGTGGGGTCTGTAAGTCTATTAGGTTACATGGAAACAACGTGGGAGTGTGATCCTTGGAATTACATTCTGTGCTCGTCAAGAACAATCATAACTTTTCATTTCAACTTTATTTAATCCTTATTGTTTATTTAAATTAATTTTTAAATATTTTTAATATTATATTTATTAATATAAAAAATATAAAAATATAAAAAATTTAATATATCTGTTTATAATCAATTTGGTCAATTTAATCTAACAATCCAACTTAATGTTAAAAAAATTTATAATTTTATAATTTGAATATATAGATAGATTTTATACAATTCAAGTATAATTTAGATAATCTTATTTGATATTAAAAAATTATAAATTTTATAAATTAATTATTTAAATGTACTCTAAATAATATGAGTTTAATATTATAATTTTTATATTTTGTATTTTAATAAATGTAATATTAAAAATATTAAAAAAAATTAATTTAAATAAACGGTATGAATTAAATAAGGTTGAAATGGAGGGACAGGAAAAACGCAGACGTGTGATCCTTCTGGTTTTCGAATTCAAAATTCTTGACAGCTGCATTCCGCTGTCCGCCCAGCCTTCTTACTCCAATCATTATATTATAGTATTACTATATACTATTTTATTTAGATCGAATTTAATAATAGATAATTAAATTATATATATCTTGAAAGGTTGGGGTTGAATAGAATATATAAAAAAATAGGGAGAATTATAAATAAAGAACTAATAAAATATTAATATTAAATTATAATTTCTTCACAATTAAAATTTCTAGATTCAGTATATCTTATTTCATGTTTCAGTATTAAAATCTTTAAAAACTCTTGATTTGACATTATTTTTTTAATAAAATCTTTAGGTATCATTTCACTAATAAACTAACAAAGTCATGGCAACAATGGTGAATTCTTCACTGAATTAATGTACTTGCATTGGAGAAAGTAAAATTGTATTTGCTTTATAGATCTATCGGGGGGTTACGCTGCTTTTTGAGAGTAATACGATACTTTCTTCTTTAATAAAAAAGACCAGGGGAAAATCATGTGAAAGATAACAATTAAATTTAGTCAGAATTCAAAAGGTTTCTACGTTTTAAAATAATTCATTTAAAATTTTAATATCTATATGATTAAGTACAGTTGGATCTACGAGCTAGTTTGTGAACTTCTCTAAAATATAGTTAAATGTAATAATCTAGTATCTCATGATAAGATCTTTGATTTTTATGATGGTTTTATAAAGAGGTTGATTTTAACAAAAATTGAACCCTTCAAGAATATCCAAAAATTCTACAACAATACTGAAATAATAATAAAGGTATTTAGAAAATTTTTTTATCCAGTCTTCTTGATCACCGTGAATGAGAGCTCGACAAACAGCGTTACCTTTTACATTGACGGAGCCATTAGCGGAGGACACCATTTATGACACTCCTTCCAAGAAGAAGATGTTTGCCAACCATCGAGGTGATTGAGGAAACAAATAAAGCAAAGCTTATGGGGGTTAATGGTCTTATAAAGTTTAAGAAGATGACCGACCAACCAACATCCCCAACACTTTTAGCCACGAACCCTAATTAATGGAAAATATAGATCAGCGTTTTTTTTAGCTTTTCTTCACTGCACACTCCATGTGATAAGTCTAAGATTAAATATGTCTCATTCAATCTACGAGGAGTGCAAGACTTTATCACATGGCCTCGAGTACACTGCATCCCATGACCAATTCAACTCAATCATTTCATTTTATTTTTAAGCTTAAAACAATACATATATGCCATTAGCCAGCGTGCATGTTTCTTGTCCTGTCACTCTACCTTAAACTAATGCTATATTCGAGTCCGTTCGAGCAGTCTTTTACGTTATGATGAATGGAATGGGTTATGGATCCATCAGCACTGTGCCCCTATTCCTTTGAGCATTTGCACATGGCAATGTGGCTTTCCACAATGGTGTCTAGTCATTAGTTCTTATAATTATTGGAGAATGACACCGGACACCAGAAGCGTGCATGTGCCTGGACTTGGTCAACGTTAATATTGGTTGACTTCTCGAGATAGCTGATGAAAACAACATTACTAAACACGCCCTTGGAGCCCCTATATGATCTTAGGTTGGTGATTTACTATTGTGTAAATTGGCCCATATCCCAATAGGCCCAATTTGTCCACTCAAGCTATACACATAATAGTTGGGAATGGGTGTCGCGTTAAGCCCATTTGGCAAGAAAACATAACTTTGCAGCGCTATTTGAAAGTGTATTCTTAGATGATCTTTTGGCATTGCTACTAGGACATTTGCGTTTACATTTATGACTTATATGTTGAAGCCCATTATTTTAGAGATCCATCATACTTTTTGGGAGTAAGAGTCTAGCTGAAACCCGGGGTCTTTTAAATCTTATAATATTTTTAAGTGGTTATATAAAGCTTAACCTAAAAATTTTACGGGTGTTATCCATTTCATGCAATCTACGGAAACTTAGAAACTAGTCAATTAAAATGAATTCACCTATTAATCTACTATACATTGCTCAGATTGTGACGTGCTCTTTGTGGCTGATAGCTGTAGACACCCAAAGTGGAAATCACAGGCATAATCCTAAAACATTATGAAGATGAATTCCTTACCAAAAGATGATGACAGAGATAAATATCTTATAAATCTGGGTGACTTACAAATGGCATATCACTAATATCACCTGATTCATTTGTACTTATGTGGTACTACTGTACATCTCATCTCCTTTTTCTTCGCCTTCCTTTCACTGCTTTTTGCTTGGTGGGGTGAACCTGCTTTTTTCTTTTGGAAAAAGCTGATATGATATCCCATATCTGATATAATATCTCCACTACCCCTGATAGCGAAAACCCCACCTTTCTCCACCGTTCAAACTCTATCTCCGCCTTCTCATAGCTATTCACTCTCAGATTTTTCATTCAGATATTTCCTTCTTGTCTTCCCAGAAAGGTCTCGCTCGTTCTGTTTATAAACCCCTTCCTTCTTATTCACTTCGCAATATCAATCTCTTCCTTCTTCTTCTTCTTCTTCTTCTTCAATTCATTTCAACACCAAATCACAGTATGGCTGCCATGGCCACTGCAACCCTAACCTCCTCCATCTCTTCCAACCCCAAATCTTCTTTCTTCCACAGTAAGATACCTTCATCTGTTTCTTCTCGCTTCACGCCTGTCAAATCCTCCATCTCAATGTCCCTAAACTCTCCCTCCTACGACCTCAATTCGTTCACCTTCCAGCCCATCAAAGAATCCATTGTCTCCCGGGAAATGACACGCCGTTACATGACCGACATGATCACCTACGCCGACACCGACGTCATCGTGGTCGGAGCCGGCTCTGCCGGCCTCTCCTGCGCCTATGAGCTCAGCAAGAATCCCTCAGTACAAGTGGCCATCATCGAACAATCCGTCAGCCCTGGCGGCGGCGCGTGGCTCGGTGGGCAGCTCTTCTCGGCCATGGTGGTCCGAAAGCCGGCCCACCAGTTCCTGGACGAGCTCGGCGTGGAGTACGACGAGGCTGAGGACTACGTGGTCATCAAACACGCGGCCCTTTTCACGTCGACTATCATGAGCAAGCTTCTGTCACGGCAGAACGTGAAGCTGTTCAACGCGGTGGCGGCGGAGGATTTGATCGTGAAGGAGGGGAAGGTGGCAGGGGTGGTGACCAACTGGGCGCTGGTGTCGATGAACCACGACACTCAGTCGTGCATGGACCCTAACGTGATGGAGGCGAAGGTAGTGGTAAGCTCGTGCGGGCACGACGGGCCGTTCGGAGCGACGGGAGTGAAGAGATTGAAGAGCATAGGGATGATCGACAGCGTGCCAGGAATGAAGGCTCTGGACATGAATGCTGCCGAGGATGCTATTGTTCGATTGACCAGGGAGGTCGTGCCCGGAATGATTGTCACCGGCATGGAAGTTGCAGAGATTGACGGAGCCCCAAGAATGGTACGTTCATATATCTATCTATATATATATATATAATCAGTGAATTAAAGAACAAATTAAAAGAAAGCTTTTTTTGCCTCGTAATTGAAAAGAGAGATTCATGAACATGTGGAATGATTTGTTGTGACAGGGTCCAACGTTTGGAGCGATGATGATATCGGGGCAGAAGGCGGCGCATTTGGCGTTGAAGGCACTGGGGAAGAACAATGCCATAGATGGAACATGCGAGCTTGGAAGACAAGAACAACCCGAGCTTGTTTATGCTTCCGCTGAAATCGATCAAGACATCGTTGATGCTTAGAAACTTAGCTCACCATTAAATATCTTCGGTTTTTTCCCCTTTTCATCTCTGTTTCGCTTCTTCTTCTGTTTGGTTACCCCACTCTTATTATCTGGGAATAAACCTAGAAAATCGACAGTCTTTTTTACATGGAGCAAACACAGACTTTTGTTCGATTGTGCCTTGTGTTTACTATGGATTCACTTCACCTAAAATATATACATAAAATAAAAAGATAAACATAAAAAATGTGGTCATCGGAGCTACATTATCTAAAATAGGGTCCACCCTTCTATAACCATTTCTCACCTTAATTTTATAATTTAGGTGAAGTGCACTTTAGCATATCTATATTCAAAGTTAGTGTAACTGTAAAATTAAGATTTGGATCAGTAAGCATAACTTAAATTTTCTCACTCAGAATATCTCATGTATATGATAATAACAATTCGATTTAATTAAACAATTGTAAAAGATTTTGTATTTAATATTTTAAAAGTAACAAGTCTCAAATTTATGGCTGTGTATTTGCCTATTTGGTTTTCCTCAGGTAAGAAAACTTTAAAAAGTTAAAATAAGATGATGTACATGAAAGGTCCAATTTTTTTGCCCTGTTTGGCAACCATGAGCGTGGAAGAATGAAAGTTGAAGAAGAATCCAATTCTTTTGTTGCATGGAACTAAAATTGAAAGTTACAAATTGATTTCCTGTGGACAGCATACTTTGCTTGAAAATACATCCGCCGTGTTTCGGCAAAAGGAGCCCTTGGATTTGCTTCTGCACAAACATGGTTTTGACCGTTTTCAATAACGTACACCCTGCGTCGTTTATATATCGAGTATACAAAACTAGAGATTGTGTTACATTGAATTGAGCGATAACTTGGACTGAGAAACACGAAAGAATTCAAGTTGAGGAGGGGAAGCTGACATTGAAAACAAGCAATGTTGGTATGAATTAATGTCTAAAGAAACATTGACTATTCCAATATTATTGTGCTTCAGATCATTCTCATTGCTCTCTTCCATCCTTCATATAGTTTTTCTCTTTGGCGCGATACAAATTTTGGTATTGATAACAAGATGGCTGCGCGCGCTTAATGTATCTAAAGTCAGATGTCAAAAGTGTTCGCACTTATTTGGAGCATCATGGCACGTCTGAATATGACGCTAGGTTTTTAACCGTCATATTTCCTTCAACTCTCGCTTCCTCTTTATATGACAGGTTTTATTATAGTAACCATTATATTTTGGATTATCAATTTTTTTAATTTTCGTAGCAGTGAAGGGTTTACATGCCGCCCTCTTTTTTAAGCACCATGCTTCAGAACTTGTTATTTCTGCAGGCATTTTATTTGAGGAAGATGTGAAAGAAGATTGTGAAGGCATGGGTCAAGAAGACAAAAACAAATTATTGCAAAAAGCAAAAAACACTGGAGTGAAGGCAGTTTAGTTCCTGCTTGCAATTTTTTTATTTGGGTAAAGCAAACCTGCTTGCATGAAGTACGCAATCTCATGGCAGACATTCTATGATTTTTTTTTTCTTTTTGCATCAGTTGGGCTTGGATGTTCGGATGACGAATCTTCTGCAAACAGTGGTCTTTTCGGGTCACAGGACCTTTTTCTAATAGTTGTCCAGTTGGAAGCTGTAAAAAACAAATAAGCATGTATCAACCAAAAAGAAGAAGAAAAAATAAGCAACCTTGTCTCCCACCTTCTCTTGTTGGGAAAGAAGCATCGTATATTCAGTATTATAGACTAATCATGTACATCTAATTCAAGTGGGGACTCAAATAGGAGGGCGCTATCCTTTTTTTTTTTGATCGAGAAGCTTGATGGTGAACTTGAAACCTTGTTTAAGGAGTGTTGAGTTACTTAAGGCTCAGCCCTACCATCATTAATATGTAGCTTTGGGAGATTTATCGTGTTTTCCGCTTACTGTTAATTTGCTCCTGTCACAGTAGCTGTCTCTTGGGGAAGAGAGAAGATTTTTGATGCTGCTCTGCCTTAGTGGTTGGGAAAGTGAATGGTCGTAGCGACTCAATTCTATTAAAAGGCAAGAAGGGCTGAAACAATGAAAAAGTTGAAAAGTAAACACAATCAAAATATTCAAAGGGGCACCATGGACCCACACATATTGACAAGGTTGGGCCATTCCGAAGCTGTTTACCAGCAAAGACAAGCATTCGTGGCTGGGGTGGGATTCCCTCTTGGAGTAGGATCTTTGCCCTGACGTGCTCTATTGTATCAAAGCTCCACAGCTGCAGGGTAATGGTGTTACTGTTTCCGGACTTGACCAAAAATTTGCATTCCTTCACGGAGCTTGTTATAATCCGCTTCGCTACAACAGATCGCGAGACCAAATCGGGGGCTTAGGGATTCTTTGATAACCAAAGCACATGACCCAAGAGGGCCTTTTCCTATTACAATGTCATACGTGTACAATTGACTTTGACGTGCCAACGAATTGTAATGCAATCTTTAACAGACCGTCTCTGTTTGGTCAGTTATAAAATTGAAGGGATGACTATTTCTAAGCTCTCCGGAGAGAATGAGAACAAAAAGTCAGCAGATCTTGCGTCTGTCCCCTTACGGTGATGAGAACCACCATGATAAGATTTGTACGGTTTAAATTTTAATATGAACAGTTCAGATTTAATGTTTTTCATTATTATTTTATATTTATTAAAATAAAGATTGTATAAATTTCTTTAATGAATAGTTTATTATCAATTAGAATACAGATAATTAATTTGGCTAGTCTAATTTAATATTAAAATTTTTATCTTTTATATATTAATGACCGAGACGTACTTTATAAATCCATATTTGATTATATAATTTTTACACATTTTTATTTTAATAAATATAATATTAAAAAATATAATCTCCTAACTCGAACTTTTAAAAATATTTTTTAAAAAAACATTTGTATAGTTAATATATAAAAAATATTAATTTTAATATTAAATTAGACTATTTAATTTAAATATAAACAAGATTTGTCATGAAAGGATTTATTAAATTTTTTATAATTTTTATAAATTTTTATTTAAAATATAAAGTAAAAATATAAAATTAATGATTTAAATCAGGATGGTTCAAATTTTACCAGGCACCATAAGCACCGAAGACAAATTTGTCATCCGCGTAAAGTGGGATTCGGACCTTCCATAATAAGATTATAGATTTTAGGAAGAATTATTTAGAAGTTTTACAAAATACAATTAAATGCTATAAGGTTAATTGAAAACTTAGCAAAGAAAAATCAATAAATCTTGTGATATTTAAATGTGTTGTATGAGACTGGTATATAATTCTCCTTAGATTCTATGATATTTTTTTATATTATCATTTGAATTAATAAATAAAAAAAGGAAAAGATTTTTCCTGAAACGCAAAGAGGTGTTTGTAAAATGCTTTCTCAGCAACTCCCAAGGCCATAACATCCGCCTTTGGTATTCCTCCTTTTGCTTGCATATTTAATGTGTTTTCCTTTCAATACAAGCAAGCCAACGAGTTAATTGTCACAGTGAAGTGACTGTCTCTTGGGCAAGAGAAAAAGTTTCCTTTATATTTATTATTATTATTATTATTATTATTCTCTGCTTTTGTCTTTAGGAAAGTGACATGTTTTGGCATTTCCTGATTGTAGTCATCCCTTTAGGTTCCGAAACGTTAACAGAGGATATTTTAACAGATCTCTCACCAGACCCACCCACCCACCCATAATATTAAGTGCATCTCATGCAACATAGAGAGCATACTGAATTTATAAAAAATCATAGAACACACTGATTGTGAATCAGCTCATGACAAGATCAGTAATATGATACTACACTGACACGGATACAGTGACACAACAAAGTTTGAAATGAGCTGAATCAAAGGCAGAGATTGTCATGCATAAGGAAAAATGAAGCTAACATTAAATTCATCTCATTCATTTGTTGAGTATGTGGCAGTCCAGTATCTTTCAAACATTAAATTCATCTCATTCACTTGTTGAGTACGTCGCAGTCCAGTATTTTTCAATCTGTTCAGCTGTTCTTCCAGGGATCCTCCCAGCTATTAAAGCCCACCTGATAGAAGCACTGGAATTTTAGCTTTAAGGATAAACATGTTGAATCTGCATATTCCGTCACTATTTTAAAATAGAACAAACCTTTCACCAACTAGTTTATACATTCTGATAATCAATTCCTCCTCATCGCTGGAAAATTCTAGCTTTGATTGTTTGCTGGTCTCCTCTGTAAAGGAACAAACATCCTTAAGGTATAAGAAGGGAATGTTCAATATAAAAGCCAAACAAAGTGCATGGCTGAGACTTGAGAAAGTTATTATCTGTAAATCCTTAGGAATAGTCATGCTCACATGTGACAAAAGAAGATTAAAGAATAGCATAAAATGCAAAAAAAAAAAAAAAAAAACGATTATAAGTACTAAATATGATAAGAGTGGGGGTCTTGAAAGAATACCTTGAAGGTTCTCCAAGGCAAAAAACGATTATAAGTACTAAATATGATAAGAGTGGGGGTCTTGAAAAGAATACCTTGAAGGTTCTCCAAGGCTTCATCAGTGGAAGAATGTTCTGAGGCAGCCATTGGGACAACAAGGTAAATGAAAAGGCAAAAGAGAGAGTGAGATGAACCACTTACAGGCTTGGTATTAATAGCCATTCTTGTCGTCAAAACAGGTGGCTCTGATCAATCAGGTTAACGAGAACCAAATTCACCAATATACGATTTTGATTTGATATGGCGTGGTTAACGAGAACTGCAGCCTCCCTGTATATGGTGAGATGGTAATGCAAGGAATATATGAATGTGACATTTTGAAGATTGGTGGCTTACAAAATGACCCGTGAAATTTTCACTGTTGATTACTTGGTGTGGAGGGCCCAGGCATGTGTTGAAACTTGAAAACAATGCTGTTAGGTGATCTGTCTCGTTAACTATTCAAACGCAAACATGGAGGGATTTTCAATTCTCTCTGTCAACGACAGTGAAAAAGGAATTCCGGTTGTCTCGCCTGAAAAGTTTCAAATTTCAATATCATCATTTTCTTCGCAGTACTAAACGATTCTAAAACAGTCATTTATTGAATTAAAAAAAAAGTAAAGATATATTTTTATTCTTAAAGTATTTTGTGGGGAGTGTCCAAAATCTTAAATTATTAGTTAAAATAATTTTATCTTGAAGTAATTAAAACAAAATATTTTTGCTTTTGCCATTTATCTAACGCTCAATGTTGAAGTTTTAGTTAGCATCTTCTAACAGTTAATATTAAAAATTTGATAGTAAAGGTAAAAATAACTTGTTTGAATTACTTTAACAAAAAAATTGTTTTAACTAATAATTTAAGATACTAGGTGCTTCTTGCCGAATATTTTAGGACAAAATGCACCTTTAGCTAATAAAAAATGGGTTAAGAACAAATGTCTTGAAAGTATTTTTGAAAGTAACAATGATATTCTTACTTTTTAAAAGTAGTGATATCACCTTAAAATTTTAAAAAAGAGTACAATTTTACCTTATTGTCAAGTTGACCATTCAATCATCATGTTGGCATCTACCTAGCACTTTTAACCACACAAAAAATACATGTCCAAGTGGCCGAGTGAACCTCTTCTTCCGCCAAGTATCACGAGGGACATGAAAAGTGAGGAACATGGTAAAAGAGAAATGTTGAACCTCGGTGATGCAAATCAAGGTGAGAGGGAGCAAATTCAACGTCTCCAAGCTGGTCTTGGTGAGATTGATGACAGTAAACTACATGACTCGGTGACGTAACAGATGAAGAGACAGGTTGGGCTTGACTGACTTAATAGCGGCTTTGAGCAACAGACAGATAGACAGTCTCACATGGCAAGGAGAGAATTGAATCTTAAGGGGTTTACTTGACTATTCAATCTTGAATGGTGGGAGTTCAGCTAATTATTAAATGGGATCGGGATTTGAATGACTCAGGGATTGATTGGAAGGTATCAAATGTAAGGTCTCCCTTACTAATTCACTTTTAATTCCAAAAATTATGAAAATAAAGGGCTAAGTAAAATAGATTACTAAGTTTGTAAACTTTACAATAATAGAATCCCAAGTTTTTAAATTTTAAAAACACTTCATTATATAAATAAAAAAAATCAAAATAGAAAATATCTGCAAAAGAATAGATACTAATATATATCAAAGTATTTGCATTTCAATTGGAGAACAATAAAATAATGCAGAAAAGCAGAGGTACGCTGTGACATGTGTTACATGCACCATATCATGTTTTTCTTTGTGTTATGTGCCATGGCACAAGCGTCATGTGTCATGGTACATTGCACAAGCTGATAGCATCTGTTGCTATTGACAACAATAAAATGCACCCTATTTTTTCATCTAATATTTGATTGAGGTGATTTAGGTGTTTATAAAAAGCTTTTTTCTAACCCTAACTAATGGCACTGGTTTCACAACTAGATTATTTCTCAAACAAAAATTGAACACCTATTTTCTCAATTTACTCCTTTTTCAATCAAAACATAAATCTGGTGTCCCAATTTCAATCCAAGTGCCAAAAGCTCAATTTTCACTATAGACCACACTCAATAGACTTATAGTTAACTATACACCACATCATACAAATGATATATCTATTTCATTTTTAATGCTCAACCCTTTAATAACAAAAATAGAAGTGAGTCTCAAATTTATAAATTATTATATCATTCAACACCAATTATATTTTACTCACTTTCCACTTGCACTAGTGTTTTAACCCTTTTTAGATTTCACAATCTAATACACACACAATTTAAGACCTAAAATACACAACTTAGCTCAAATTCACATGGTGTAAGTAAGCATAAATATGATGTCTCCTAGTTGGTAATATCACAAATAGTTATACACATAAACTCAAAATAATTTAGGCATACAAATTAGAATAAATGTCCTAAGTCTCAGATTATTTCTCCCATTCTTGCCTTGATGAACTAACTTCTATAATATTAAAGAGAGAGAAGTCAGTACAATCACTCAGTAATCAAGATGAATCTAACTTATACAAATGCATATCAATTAATTACAATACAAGTGGCAAAATATCATCTCACTCATGTATTTTATGCATTCATGATTTCATTTTTCAAAATCATGACATTAATCACATAATATCATATGATTTCAATATAAGGACACAAAATAGACAACCATGTGCCCTTTCTATCGATTTGCATGATCACACCTTCCTTATATCCTCTTTATGCTACCAACACAAAACCATGGGCTATTTCACAATGGGTTCATCCATGTAATAAGACTATCCTAGCTATTTATGTGTGAGAAGCTACCCAGCCAAGGTTGCTTAACTCACTTGTGGGTCATGATTTTCTCCAAATCTCATTCTATGGGGGTGTCGTTCTTCTTGTACTAACTTCCTCATCAAATAAGTAGAAATTAGAGTTAGGTTCAAGTCCTTTATTACACAATGGGACAATCCCTTATCAAACAAGTGGGCTAATAATTATAAATATATCTAGACAAACCATCAAGCTCTAATAGTATCCTTATCATGTGAATTTTTAACTCACAACTCCTCTTTTGAAATGAATTCTCATCCTACATGATCATGCAATGTTAAAATGCAATACTTCATAGCATGCAAAATAATCACTATACATGTATGTTTAATATCATTGTTGTACTCATACCATCTACGATTACCACATATTCACATAACAATAGATCATTGAACTCTACATCATATCACATCATTGAACTCCTAGCGATAATACATCATGCAATTCCATTTGGTCTTCATATATTCACATCATTTCATAATCATTTAAATTATCACATAACAGTGTATCATACATGTACATGCCAATTCACAAATTTCCAATTTATCATTGCAACAAGTTAATTCATTATATCACAATCATTTATCATGACACAAGCCACATCTATATTGAATGTTTTCATATATGTCACATAGTTTATACAACTATATAACTAATTAACATACAAAATTACAGGAAATATTTTTCTCAATTATCTCAAATTTTTGAGAGGTCAAAAGTTTACTTCTCAAATATACACTTCCAAAGCTTTTTAAAGCTTGAATCATGCCAAGTTATAATCACTTTACATATTCACATCAACAATGATCATTATCCATATTAGGATAAATTCTCAATATCTAACTTATTCATATACAAGAATGCCCATAGGGTTTGTTGGCCTTTTTTAACTCACATTGGTTTACATGAACCCCATTGAACTATCAATCATTAATGGCATTTTCAACTCCCATATAAATTGTTTATGAGGGATTTTCAGACATTAATAATCCTAACAACCAAAAACTCATTAAGCCATAAGTGTTAGGTTTAAATAACTAAATCCATTTCCATTAACTCTATTTCAGTCAATAGGTTCAGGCCCAATAGCCTTTATGAATCAAAAATTATCTTTCTCAAACAAATGCTAATCTTAAAATTAAGAAAAATGGAAGGAGGATAAACATTTAGGGGACTTATCTTTAGTGTTTAGAAGTTTTAAAATACTCTTAATGCTTTTGAATTTTAAGCCCTAGTAGAGCTTTTCATAGTTTTCTCATTTCCTCTTTTGTTTCTTTTCTATTTTGAGTCTGATTCGTATTCTTATTTCTACAAATTCTAGACCATGTGCCGTAGAGCATGCCACACTTGTCACGATATATTGTATAAAGATGCTTGGTTTATGTTTTGATGACTTATGCACTGCAACATATGGCATAAAGCCATTCCTCCTTGTTTTTCTCCTATTTAATGGTTCGGGTGGCCTAACTTTGCTTTGGACTCAATCATAGGGTTGGAATCACAACCTAAAACATCTAATAGCTCTTTGTAATCACACACCACATTAATTTACTTAAATAATCTCATTGTACTCAAATAATTAAAGGTTAATTTCCTAGAATGTTACAACAAGAAGAGAAGAGATCAAGGAAGAAAAGGGACGGAGACAATGGCGAGTTCTTCATTGAAAGTGTTTCTATACTTAAGAAATCTTCTTCTACTTGTGCGCTCTGCATTTGTGATTTCTCTTTTGAACTCATCCTTTCTATACCTTAAGGTAACTTTATTCTATAATTTATTGTCCTTGCTTGCTCAATTCTAGATCTAGTCAGAATCCAAGTATATATTTCTTTTTTCATATGCAACTGCAAGAGGAGAATCCATGTGCATTTGTTTCTCCACTTTTGTTCAATTTGCTTAATTAGGGAAATGTGTTTTGCTGTGACAATCACGATAAGGGCTTGTACTCTGATGCTTGAATATGAGACTGGGGAGTTGAAGGAGGCTGAACAACTACATATGGGTTATGACGGTGAAGGTTTGGGGGTGAGGGACATGAGGCACTCACGTGGAGGAAGAAAAAGGATAGTCTATGGTTCCCATTTGATTCAGGACATGCCCTTATCATTCTTGTTTTGAAATGTTTAGATTATGCTGGATACTGGATACTGGATGCCTGATGCCTCTCATTACTCTGTTTAGTTGGATTCCAACTTTTTGTCCTTAATTTTAGGTCTTTAATTACCTTTTCAATTTGCTTCTCCTCCTCAATCATGGTTGAATGGTGTAAATTCTATAATATGCCATTTTCTACTTAGTTATCTTGATTCTACTTAGTGAATTCTATGAGGACATTTTTAGTTTTTCCTTTTGGTTTAAGTGCATCAATTTTTTTAGTTTTAAATTTCAAAACTTGTGCAAAAGAGAAAGGGGCACCTTTCTAAACTTTTTTTAATTTTTTTA